TGGGAATTCACAGCAGTCTAAAATATTTATAAATTAATAACGCCATTTGCACCTCCCCATGAAACACTCTACAAACTCTGTGCTTGTGGCCCGCTGCCACACCAAGAATGGCAAAGCCAAAGCACAAACATGGAAGCAATCACACCACAGCCACTGTTGGCCTGGTCTCTGTCAGAAAAATGAGGAAGACATCAGTATCCACCACTCAGTCCAGCCCACTCAAGAGGATGCAAGAACAGCAACTGTGGAGAGAGCTTTACAGGATGTAGGAAGGATGAAGAGGAAGAAAGGCATCCAAAGAACTCCCTACCCTGCTCCCGACTAAGGGTGAGCCAAAGTGGTCTGGGTCAAGCCAGCACCACCCTATGCTCAGAGGGACTTTCTAGCTGCTTTTAGCTGCTGAGCACCTCTCTATTTGATTCCACCAGACTGAACCAACCAACTAGGAAACCATCCTGATAGCAGCAAAGACAGGCCAGCGGTGATCCCAGCTGGAACCAGCAGTGGTTTCATCCGAGCAGGACATGGTCCGCGCAGATACCATGGCTCCCCCACAAGCTCTGGGGCAAGGCAGATTGAGTGTCAGGTACACAATGCACTGCAGTTGGGTTCTCCAAAGTGCCTCAGTGACTTCAGTTGTACTCATGCTGCCAAAGATCACAGAGGCACTTGTGACAATCCCACCATACGCCCTATAACAAGCAGGTGCAAGATCAAGAGACCCCCCACTTAAAATGGAGGAAGGTGAAGGAAGAGGATTCGGCTCCATTAACAGAGAGAGGACATCCCCAAATACAGGAGGCTGGCAGAATCAACCACCCTCACACCTCTTACCATCACCAGCTGATTCTCCCAGCAAAGACGCCACACAGCACTGGAACTAGCAGAGTCTATAGGGAGAGGCAGGGCTCATGAAGGAGAGAGCTGACAGCTGTAATGCTGATGAACACTGCCAAGCCAGAGCGCAGAAGCAGCACTCCGCAGGGGCCCCTGAGCCACCCTCACACCCTTGAGCAGACAACAGGACTTCTGAGAAGTCAGAATGCAAAAGGAGGGCCCAATTCTGAAGTCAACAGGAGTTTGGCTATAGGCCCCAAATGGAGCAGAATCTGGCCTTTTATGGTTAAGCAGCAAACTCTCAAACGTCAAATCTGACCCCAAGGTACAAAACCACATATAATTCACCCAACATAAGACATACAAGAGCTGGTAAATGCTATTCTCGGCTCAATATCTGACATTCATGGTAAGAAATGGCTCCAGGCTCTCAAGAACTGCATGTATGGTATGGAGCTGTTCTAAAATATAACAGCTAGCAAGTGCCAGACACTAATGAGAGCTAATCCCAGCACCAGTTAAGTCTGTTAAAAGTCAGTGACACTTTGGCATGCAAAACACTATATAAAAATCAAGTTTCAAAAACATTTGTTTCAACTCTCTGACCCCAACGCTGCACTTTAAACAAAATAAAAAACCACAGCACCACAACCAGAACGTTTGCTGTGGTTGGTGACAGAACCTGCAGAAGAGCGAGAAGTGGTTTACAGCTCCCTGTTTTTGGCTCCCAAATCCTAGGATATTCAGGATTCAGTCTGGCCCTAGAGCAAGCTAGTGCAACTTTGGGGGGTACTCTAACACAGGGCAGTCCAAGACAGTCTGCAGAGCCCTTTCACCCAGCCCACAGGGCTCTCGGAGGGGCCAGGGCCCACTACTAAATTCCCATGTATGGAACTTTGCTGAAGAAACACGTCGGTGGTAGGGGGATTAGCAACAGCTGCGGTAATCCCTGCAGTGCTGCCACTGCTGCTCATTTTACCCCCAGCCTACAAAGCTCCTTGCAGTTCAGATCCAGCCCAAAAGGAAAAACACATTTTAGAGCAGGAGTGTCATCCTTACAACGACTCCAAGAGCCTCACAAACATCCCTTCAGAGATGCTGGGACCACCAGGGTTCAAGGTACACTACCCACACCCTCCATACACACTTCCCTTCAAGACACCCTCTCCTCTGCTCCATTCCCCCTACCCCCACAGTTTGGCTTAGAGTTTCTACAGCTACCGGCCTCAGTCACACAGTACAGACAGACCATTTTCTATTCCAGTTTTCTCGTTAAACATCCAATTTAATCCATGACTCTTCATACCATGAAATAGATACTGGAGATACCCAAGACGGGGAATTGCCAAGTCAATGTTACCATGACAACACTTAATTTCCTGCTTGTTGGCAATTTTAACATGCATTATTTCCTTTTTATTTTAGAAATGAGACTCATTGTCTCATTGGTTTCAGTTCTGAAGGGATTGTTCATTCACTTTGACCCCTTTGACCCCATCTACTTTACCACCCCTCCCACCCTCCTCCAGGAACCATACCAGGCCTCAGACAAAACAACGTTTCATGTGTTGAGAGTCAAGAACTCCCACAGTTAAAGTTATCTGCATGTGAAAAATGTAGTAGTCAAAGTAAGGCAAGAACAGATTCTTCATCCAGGTCTAGCAATCGTAGCAGCTAAGTGGACTGCACGCTGTCCTCCAATGAGACTGAGATCAAGCATGGGAAGTGCATGAAATCTGGAGAGAGTTTGCTACCATAACCTGTGCACGAGTTCCAGATATCAGACAGTGTAGCTTGTTCAGAACTGTGGAGCTTTTGGGGGTTCACCCCCAGGCCTACAACCACAAGTCATGATGCTGACTAGAAGCTGGATATCCTAATAGCCCCCACCAGAGGCAAAACCATGTTCTACAGGAACGCAAGGAATATAGTCATATTTTCAAATAAAATTCAAGTTATTTGTTTAAACCCATTTGGAGCTTAATGGAGAATGCAAGCTCTTCTTCCCCTGGATGGAGCCAGGCCTCCTGTTTCTCCCATCCCCATACTCATCTCCACACCTAAGTGCTGATTTGAGTTTGGCAGCTGCACTCTATTCCACCCCCTCTCCCATTTTGTACTTGCAACAGAACTGGCCAAAAAGCTTCCACCTTTGCTGACAACAACTTGAGTGACAACTCAGGAAGTACTAGCAGCACCCCGCTGGATTCTTTTCATTGCTATGCAGGGAAAGCAAAATGTCAATGAGTGTCACATGTTCCCAGAATCACTCAGCAATGCAGAGTCCCTGAATTGGCCTATAAAAGCAAGGCCTTGTGCTGCACCCCCATAGCATTTTTTTCTGGCTGTAATGCAAGAAAACTGCATCTCATCAATCCCAAAGCTCCATGGACTGGTTCAGTGTTTATCAAAAGAGTGTGTGCGCGTGTGTGTAGGGGGGCAGGGGTAGGAAACTTAGAAATGCCCAATTTCCAGTATTTTAATTGATCCAGTTTTCACAGACCCCAATACACTGACCTTGGGACTCACACAGACCAAAGAGTTCCCTCTGCAGGTCTGCTTTGAACAGGGGTGGATTCAAGGCAGGATGCAGTGGTGTGGTCATACCTCCTGCCATCATGTAGCACAGTGAGCCCCCCACCCTCTCAGCCACCAACGAACACCCAAGAGGAGAGAGACGCAGGATGGGAGCAAGCATTGGAAGAGGGGACCCACCCAGCTGCTGCCACCAGTCCCAGAAGCCCAGCATACCACACAGCCACTCCCTGCAGCCCAGCTGAAGCAGGGCAGGAGTGGCCCTGGAGCGGACAGAAAAGCCCTGACGTGCAGGTCAGTCTGGGAGCTTTCCATGCCTACTTCCTGCCCAGAGCCCCCACACCCAGTGTCCTATGCCAGCCCAGAGGTTCCAACTATGCCTTGCGCCCATGCTCCCTCATGGTCTGAGCTACAGCATTGGTTGCATTTGTTATACCCACCTTTTCTAAATCCTAGACCTGCCTATGGATTTTAGTGGATATAAGGATCCTGGAAGGGCCTCGCTTGCCTCAAAACTCCCACCTTCCCCCTAGGCTATCCTAGCTGCACAGCTTAGCCTCCCTAAGCAAAAGAAGTGCATGACTCTCAGAACATTTCACAGCTAGTTTTGATTAAAAGCCATCCTCCTTATACCACTGTGGATGCAGTTGCACATTACACTTAGACCATACTAAGGGCACTTAAAATGTGGGCATCCACACATCAAAGCTTGTTAACACATGCTAAGTGCTCTCTGAACACCTAAAAGTTATGCCACTTCGGGCAAGGGTTAACTCTGGGCTGTGCTACCTAGCTTATGTTGGGGGTAACTTCAACCTGCTCCACCAAAATAAAACGAGCAATTTGCAGTCCACCAGCATCTCAGGATGCACATCTCCTGCACCCCTGCCCACCCCACCCCCACAAACAAGGATAATAGAGTCCAGGTGCCCATGCCCCCCCCCGCTTGCCAGCCCTCTAGTGGCAAGTCAGAGCTGTGCAGACAAGAAACCCTTAAGGTCCAACTGCTCACAGAATGGTCTAACTCAGGGGTGGGCAAAATACAGCCTGTGGGCGGGATCTGGCCCACGAGGCCATTCTATCCGGCCCACGGGGCCAGTGCCAGCGGGGACCAGAGCAGAGTGGCAAGAACGTGGGGTTCCAGCCGGCACGGGCTCTATGGAGCCGGGCCAGCTCCCCCCTCTCTCTGCTGGTGCACCCCAGCCCGGCTCCACAGACCCCTGCCAGCCTGCGCCCTGCTTTGGGCCCCACCGGTGCTGACCCTGGAACATTGGTCCCAAGATGGTGACCAGGGCGGGGCACCTGTCAAGGGGCGGGGCTACCCATGCGGCCCCCTCCACAGCCTGCCAAAACTGGGTAAGCAGCCCTCCGCCTGAAATAATTGCCCACCCCTGGTCTAACTGTAACACCATTTAACACTCCAAGTGTAACTTCACCCCGAGGGCTGGAGACAAGCCTTTGCTTCCATCCCAGACAAGAGCTTCCCATGAACTGTACCCCCCCACCCTGCCCAGTGGTCATTCAGCTTCAGTCCCCAGACCCGTTCACATGGCTACCCCTGCTCCTGCACTCCAGAGTCAGAGTAGGAAAGAGGAGGAGAATACGACACTTTTGCACTTTGCTCTTACCTCAGCATGGCCCCCTGGGGTCAGGGTCTTGTTGCAGCGTTCACACTTCAAGCAGAACTTGTGCCAGTCTTTGCCCAAAGAGGATACTTTCTCAGCTGCATAAAAGAAAACAAAACAAAGAGAAAGCAGGATAAGTCTCTGTTTCACTGGGGTAAGGAGGCCAACAGCAGCCATCTGCTCAGCTGTGGCAAGCAGCCTTCTTGCGAGTTCCAGACTAGAGGCCAAAGCCAGACGTGGAGCCCATGTACAGCTGTGTCTGCATTTGAAGGGGTTGCACTGTTATTAGGAGGGTAAGTATACTTAATAAGCTTTGCCATTTACCTTGATGCTAAATTGTTCACACTGGTAGAATCGCTTAAAGCTGTGGCACCTCAGGGCCTGCTCTGGTGTTTGTACCACCACACAAACACCTTTATTTGGATGCCTCCGAGGAGCAGGAAACATTCTCTCAGGAACTTTCCACAAAAGTCACTTCCTTCTTCTCCTGTCCAAAAATGACAGGAACCAAGGGCAGTAGGACCCAGGGGAAGCCCGGCAGGTTCCAACAACAGCCGGCATGCCTGGCCCGCCCCCCAGCCAGAAGCCCCAGCCAGGGGTTTCTGGGCTGGGAGCACATGGCTGCCCCGCACTGGAAGCTCAGGTAAGGGGGCGGGGGGGCCTGGGCAGGGAAGGAGCGAGGGGGGAAGCACCCCACACACACACACCCCCCCCGGTGCCCCATGTAGGGCTGCCTGTGCCCACTCCAGACAGCCCCACACAGGCTGCAGGTGGCTGCAGCGCGGGGCACTGGCCACAGGGCAGGGGAGGGGCTGCTTCCTCCCCCCCTGCTCAGCTTTTCCCTGGGCTCCTTCCCTGCGTGGAGAAAAGTAGCCCCTCGCCAGCTCCATGGCCGGCACCCTGCGCTGCAGGCACTTGCAGCCTGTGCAGGGATGTCCGGAGCAGGCGCAGGCAGCCCCAGGCCGGCTGCGAGTGGCTGCAGCGTGGGGTGCCGGCCATGGGGTGGGAAGGGGCTGCTTTCTCCCCCCTCTGCACTCAGCACCACTTTGTAACCCAGCCCCACTGCCAGGCTGGCAGCAGGGCGGGTTACAAGCTGGTGCTGAGCGCAGGGAAAAATGGCCTTTCGCCCGCCCCATGGCTGGCACCCTGCACTGCAGCTGCTTGCAGCCTGCCTGGGGCTGCCTGTGCTCGCTCCAGACAGCCCCGCACGGGATACAAGCGCCTGCAATGAGGGGCGCCAGCCATGGGGCAGGTGAGGGGCCACTTTTCCCCATGCTCAGCACCAGCTTCTTCCCTGCTGGCGAGCAGGGGGTCGGAGCTGTGTGCTGCCCCCTGCCTGTATGCCCCCTGCCTGTACCGCAGGTCTGGGGGGCACTAGGTGTGAGCGGGCAGGGACCCAGTGAGAGCACAGGGCCCACACCGGTGCCTCAGGGTCAGTGCTGGTGGGGCCCAGAGCAGGGTGGCAGGAGCACGGGGTCCCAGCCAGCAGGGGCTCTATGGAGCTGGGCCAGCTCCCCCCTCTCCCCGCTGGTGCACCCCAGCCTGGCTCCACAGACCCCTGCCAGCCCACGCTCTGCTTTGGGCCCCACTGGTGCTGGCCCTGGGACATCATTCCCAAGACATTGGGATGTTAGTCCCAAGATGGTGACCAGGAGGCAGGGCACCTGTCAAGGGGTGGGGGACCTGTCAAGGGGCAGGGCTACCCAAGCAGCCCTCGACAGCCTGCCAAAACTGGGTAAGCGGCCCTCCGCTCAAAATAATTGCCCACGCCTGCCTTAGGGTCAAATTTTGCATTGGGTCAAAATCCTGGGTGGTGACACTGGTAGGGGATGGAATTCATCTTCTTGCTTTCATCCCAGAAAGATCCCACAGCTCTTTACCACCTAAATAGAAGCACAGGAATGACTTGGCTCACTCAAAAATGGACCTGCCTCTGGGATGGAAAGAGCTACCTTGTGCCAGCTCCAAAATGCAACCCTTCCCAATACTCAGCTCAGGAAGGGCAGAAAAATCCTGTGTCCAATGGAAAACTGAAAGTGGAAATTTAAGTCACCAGAGTTATTGCTCAAGGGTAGCAAGAGTACACAATGCTTTAGCTGTGCACAAAATAAAGGATCTGACTGATGAAGTCTATAATCTAGGCAAGCAATAGTTTCCTGGGACTAGAATTTACTTTAGGTCCTGGACTTAACAGACTGACTTGTGAAAAATGCAAGTGGGTGGTTAATAGCTACTCAGGACTTTGATGTTACGTCTCCTCTGGCATAACATCCCCACCAGATCCAAGTTAACTATTGCCAAAAGGTGCAGCCCTAGTGAATCAGTGACTCCCAAGTTAGCCAGGTGTAACCCGCAGGCCTCCTGCAGCTTATGAAGTGTGATCAGATGGTGACCCAAGGCAGGAATCCATCCCTTTTCACCAATCAGCTTAGTTCCCAGCAAGTCCATAGTAGTGATCTCTTTCTGGAGGAGCTATCCTTCTAGAGACCATTAAAGCAAAACCCCACATCGACTGGAGAAGAGAGAGTCATAGACAGGGTGACCATATGTCCTGGCCCATTTCACTGGGACAATACTGGATTTCAAAAGCTGGTCCTGGCCAGTTTGTGAAAATTAAAATGAGAGTCCAGGAATCACAGGTGCACAAGATGCAATCCTAGGAGGAGACAGATGGTGCATGAGGCAGGTGGGTGAGCAGGCACCGCTTGGGGGGGGGTGGGGGGATGTTGTCTTGGATTTCTTATGGTCCCATATAGTCACCCTAGGGTCTGGACTCAAAGCTTTAAAAACATTACCCTGTTCCCCCATGAGAGAGCAGGTTTGGGGTATATCTGACCAGCTACATAGCCAGGACAACACCTTGCCCAATTGCATGCACCCTTCTACAACTTCCAGATGAGTTCTCTGGAGCAAAAGCTTAGTGCCCATCATGATAATCTGGCCCCAAGGCTCCCAACAGGAACAGATGTAGCGGTTAGCCATGACTGAAAATCTGGCCGTTCCTGAGATACCTTCCATGGGAGCTGGCCTCTTTTAAAATCTTGACCTAGCTGCACAGACACATACTTGGAAATCTAGCCCTAGGAGACCATTCCACCATAACTGATATTTCCTTTTTTCATTTATTGCTTCTATTTCTACCACTGGCTATCACCCTAAATAACCCCTCTCTTACTCAAATATTTGCAGGCTGTTACCATGTCCACCCCCACCCTTTAGTCGTCTCTTTGCCAGTCTATACACAGTTAGCTCTTTTAATCTATCCCTATTGTTCAAATCCCTAGAGGCTCTTAACTCAGTTTTACTGCTCTTCTCTGAACTGCCTCCAGTTTCTCTACAGAAATTGCTCAGAAGATGGGAATACAGTTAGGTGTGGTCCCATTGCAGTCATATATAGGAAAGGACTATTAACCTCAAACATCTGGCTATAGAGCTCCCCTGCCACATCTCCATCACATTTGCTTTTGCATTGCAACCGCATTATAACCTCATGTCTGCCTGCCTGTCAACACTGCTGCTTCCCAGCTCTCTCTCCCCTTTTAAATGCCAGGGTTTCTGATAGTTTTTCTCCATGCATTAGTTTAACTGGTCCAGGTTAAATCTCATTTTCTGTTTCCTGTCTTGGCTCTCTCTCTCTCTCTCTCTCCCCTCCCAATTTAGCATCAACTTAAAAAAAACATCTCCTTGACATGCTGTTTACTTCCTCCTCCAGACAACCAAGGAGAGATGGCATTTCTCCAGATACCCCTCCACCCAGCATTTTTTCTAGACTTACAAGGTCATCCACCCTCTCAGTGTAGTAGGCAAGTGCTTTCCCAAACCAACTGAACATTAACTTATTTTCCCCAGCTCTGCTGCTAGAAGCCAGCATAGCTAAAAAATCCAGCAATAAGGCCATGTAAAGCAGGGCTCTGCATTCAGTTTTCTGGTGTGGCAAAATGTGCCGATTCTCTTCTTTTGCCAGGCAGTGTGTTCTGAGGCCTGGGTCTAGTTAAAGGAAAATGCTGCCTCTTTTGCAGACATGTCCTCACATTTGCTCAATTTTGTCCCTTCCCCATGTCCATCCAACAGTGCCCAGCTCCAGCCAGCTGCAATTCTTTCCAGCATCTGGAAAGCTGGGAGACCCACTGTTAACATGCACCATCGGGGAGAGGCAGTGCTGGGTACCAGTAGTGCAAAGCTCTGGATGGTCTTGCTAGTTCTACCCTGTAGCTCCATCAAGTTACTGGATAGAGAGAAAGGGGAAATCACTGAGTCTTGGTCTCACCAGCAGGTGAAGGGCCAGGTGGCAGAGAAATAAGAGTTCCTAATGATGCTTCAGGCCTTCCATGCTGTACCCCCCTCCACATATCCCCATTGCTATTTAGCTGCATTCAGTCACCCTCCACCAGTTCTCTTGGTGTCACCTTGCTTACATCCATTCTTCAAAGATAATGTAAGAGGCCAAATACCAAGCGTCTTCACTAGAGCTCTGTCCAGTGCGTTGTCTGTATCCAAAAGCTCTCTACATTCACCGGGTTTGTCCAGCAGGATTAGGGCCCTGAGCTCCCCTGTTGTACACTGAATTAGCACCAGAGAGCAGTAAGCAACTGAAATAGCACAATCAAAGCGCAGTGTCCGGTTCCTTGGGCAGCTTCTTGCTTGGAGTCCTACTGAGCTATTACTGCTTTGAGGCCTCTCACCTGAGGTTCACTCTTTGCCTTCAAACTGCTTAGCACGGACTGGAGTTGACTTTAAGCTAGAAGCAGGCTGATCCATTCCTCCTTTACTCAGGACTGGCATCTCCTTGCCTTTCTCCAATTCCTTTGCTATCTTCCTCTGTTCTCCCTTTATTTTACAATTTAATAATTTCTCAGCTGCTTGAGGAATTCACAAAGCAGTTCCCACAGGTTTGTGGCCTTGAACACACATCAGAGTACCTGATAGGGACACAACACCTACGCTACCCCAGGGGATCCTTTCACTAGTTCTTTAACAATAACCACCTGCGTATCGACTTGCCCGTCCCTATCCCTTCTTTCCTCAGACATTTGTCTCTTGTTACAGCAGCGCTATCTCTGCCATTTCTGAATCACCAGTTTCACCCCACTCCACCTTCAGTCTCTCTTCCCCACCCCAGACATTTTGAAGCCAGTCCTTTAGGGTTCCCCTGAGCTCTTCCTGGCAGCCTTAACTCATTTTGCTACTCTTCTCTTTTCCCAGCCAGTCTTCCCCAACCCGGTACATCTATAATGCTTCCTCCTACCTCTTTTCCTATTTCCTGTGTGGGACTGAGATCTGTGGAGGTATTTCTTAGTTTATACATCCACTAATTCCCCAGTGTCCCCCTCTCTCACATATATCCACACACAGCTGGAAGTGGTAAAACTTGATTTAAGTCATCATAAAGCAAAATCAGAAGAGCCAAATAAAATATTTAAAAGGCAAATAAAGCAGCATGACTGAAGTTCAGTTCTACTCTAGACGCACCTCCAAAATAACCCACAATTGTCATTACATTTATTGATTCTCAGTCGCCTCAATGGTGAGGGAAGGGTCAGGCTTGTTCATGGTTTACAATCTGTTATACTAGGAGTCAAGAGACTCCCTTGTTGAACCTGGTGGGCACCACAGCTGCCTTCCTTTCAGGTTACATAAGAAACAAATGAGATACCGCTTTATTTAGGGGAAGATGAAATAGGAAGCATCACCCAAATAAGGCTACCAGCAGAGCTGGTGAGATGCTGAACTAAGAAGAGAGAGGCAGGGTCTCAATTATAATGGCACCTGTGATAGTCAGGGCAGAAAAATCCCTTCCTTTCCCCCCAACTCTCAGGAAGAGCAAAGCCACCCTAAATTGTGAAGCTCTGGTAGTGCGACCCTGAAAAAAAAAGCCTAGAGAGAGAGGGCTTTTGGGCAGAGTGCTGACAAAGAGGTTTAGGACTGTGAGCAAATAAACTCCCTCATGCCCTCTTCAAGAAAACAGGGCTTTATGTATGTTATTTGTAAAACTAAAACAGAAGCACATTTAAAAAACCCTTCATTTATTAGTTTCTCCTTCTTACAGAAATTTACTAAAAATTTGAATTTTAGTTAGGTGTTCGAGTAAAAAATGAGTGAACACAAAGACATTACTTTCTACCTCTACACTCAGTCTGGGACATGAAAGTTGGGACAGGTTCTTAATGGCTCTGTGCATAAGTATTAAATGCAAAGGCTGGTGCCAGTCAAATTCTTCCCTTCAGTAATTTAGTTGGAGATGCATAGGTATAATAAGGATTTGGCTTGACAGCTCACATTTAGTTCACAGCCACCCTAGACCCCACCTCCCTCTTCCAAGCTGTTCTAGATCATAACACAATCCAAAGAACAGAAAGTAGAAATAGGCAAAGTCAAAAGCTGGAAGCTGTTCTAAAAAGGCAGGCTCTAGCTGTAGGATCACTGGATGCAAGCTATGGTCAGTCAATCTTATGCAGAAGGGCAGGAGACAAGTCACAACAGTCCCTTCTGGCCTTAAGAGACCAGAAGTCTGCGATCTAGCAGGACAAGCAGGAATAGATGCTATCTATGTCACACACTATATGCATATAGAGCAGCTACTCTGAGTAAGATGCTGGGATGGGCTTTCCGTTCCCGTAGGGCACTTGTGGAGGAGAGAGGCAGCTGTTATCCATGCCTGCACCCCTCCAAAGATGGTCCTTGGCATCTTGAAATGCCAAGAGCTTGCAAAAGGCAAGCTCAGTATAGCAACAGCTCTCTTGCAAAGAGATCCAGGGATGTGTGGAGGAGATGCATAGGGCCAGTACACCCTTCCTTCACGTGCCCTTCCCTCCAGAGGGGTATTTTGCAAGGACCTTCACAAGGCAAGGGCCCATTACAAAGGCTGGAGCTCTTGAAGGGCCTTTGCCATTAGGGCAAATTGGGACCTGTCAGTCACCATAAGGGATGAAAGGCTCTACAGTCCATTCCCAGTGACTCAAGTTACCCCGTATCCCTCCACAATGCAGTGCAACTGCTCAAATCAGTCTGTAGCCACCCCTGTAGCCAACCTGCTGGACCAAAGAGAACTTACAGGCAGCAAAGCAGAAATTAAGAGACATGCACTGGTAAAACAAGCTGCCATTTCTAAGGGAGCATACAAAAAATAGCCATGTGCTAC